CAACTGTTTAGGTACAGGAGAGAAGACGACACCGCATGCACAAGGCTTGCTAGACATGTTCAAGGGCTCATCACCGAAGCCTCCGCCGACCCTACCAGCAGTCTTGCCGTCTCGCTCACCCGTCCCTCCGCCCATTTCTGGCATGGACCGTCGCGAATCCGTCCCCTCGGAGCAGAAGAACGCATTGCTCTCGCTCTTCGGCAACAAACCGTCACCATCTCCGAAACCCCAAATGCAGAGCCCAGTGCCACCGGCCCGATCTCCTCTCCCACCGACTCCAAAGACGTCCATGTCCGGCCTCGTCAGCCCTGTCAGTCCACTACCAGCGAACGGCAGTGTGAGTGCAACCAGTCCAGAAGGAATGGCGAACAGAAGTCGCATCAGCAGCATCGGAGACGGAAAAGCGCCTAGCATTGTAATACCGCCAATTAGTCACCCAGCCGACGCAGGCATCAGTCTAGAGCAGAACGATGGTGTCAGTCTAGCCGGGCTGGGTGCCGGTCAAGCTAGAGCGGGAAGCGCAAGCGGAGGTAAGAGTCCCGTTGATAAGAGTTTCTTGCTGGGTTTCTTGGAAGATGTGGCTAGACGTGGGCGCTAAACAGTGTCCTCTGTCACATTATTGCATTGCTCTGGGCGTTTTTGCATTTCAAGGTGGATTATGAGTTATTCAGGGTTAGCTGACCGGACAGCAATTGGGACTATGCGTCAAGATCAATCGGGTTATGATTCTATTGATATGGCTTGGACATTATTTGCTTAGTAGAAGTATGTACGGCTAGCAAAACACAAGTACGAATCCTAAGGACGCTCTCAAAACTGTCGGAATAATGTCCGAACAAATCTATCCCTTGTTCCCAGTCTGTGGTTTCCGTCAGATGCATCTGCCACCCGCACTGCTCCTCACAACCCCAACGCAACCGCCCAACCTTCCCGTCCGCGGCCTTGTCGTCCGCACAGCAGTAACAGCCCGCGGACTCCATTTCCGCTTTCCACGGCAATAATTTCATGAACCCCAGACACACCTGAAACGCGTCCCGCTTTGTCAACCTACCGACGGGACGTCATGCTATTCCATGCTAACGCCCTCCATGTCAGCAAGACGCGTCTCAGCTAGTCAAATACCCTCGGCATATCGGTAAACCGGTTATCTGATCGGCGTGACGTCCCTACATACTACTACCCTGGTCGTCGGCTTGGTAAATGCGAGATCGTGCCAAGTCGGAGGTTATGAGCTTACTTTTCGGGAGGTGGAGGTGGGAGTGAAGGGGCACGGGTGTCTTTTTAACCTGGTACAGTAGTATACGAGCCTGCTATATGCTGTCATCGTGCTATTTGTGACGATGGTGGGGATTTAGTTGGGATGGGCTACGTCACGCATACACGAATGCACTCGAGCACAGACACGGGAACGAAACATGGCAATGGGTTCTTCAGGTGAAGAAGAAACCCCGAATTTGTTGGTTATTACTAAGTAGATGGCGAGAGGAAGATGACTCTACGGGATATTTCGATAGCTCAAGCTAAAAAGGCGGACAAAGTTGCAATGTACAAAAGGATAGACAGATAGGTGAATAGCGCAGAGGCTTTGACCGGGAACAAAGTTGAGTGGAAACAAGAAGTTTGTTATAGTTGTCTCGATCCTGGTTTCCGGTGGTGAACTGCTTGTTTGTTTGTTTGCCATCCCGTTTTGTCCCGAACCCCCAAGTCCCCCTGATGCCGCGCTCGGAAATGCAAGAAAACGTGCTGATGCTGGAGAAGTGACGACGCTGACGGGGTACTGGTAAGGAAATATGACTTGATTGTACAGGTTAGACACGAAGTGGTTGACAACAGTGGCTCAGTGATGCTCATAGGGCGACATTATCCCGTCCCCTATCCAAGATCTCAGAAGGAACAGCGCTGCGTGTGCTGAAGCGCACTTCCGTGCCTGGGTGTGCCTTGAAGATTGGGGCCGTTGTCTGGGTATCGTGTCTCTGGTGCTTGATGTCCCTTCCTACTAGACCGCTCTTGCTGCCATTGCGGCTCAGACCCGCAGCACTCGGTTGCCTGGTTATGCCACTTGCGTTCTTGGGGACGGAGGACGGTAGGGCAGGCATCTCGGGAACCTCGTCTTCAGAGTATGTGGTAGACTGCGTCATGCGGAACTGCTGCTTGAGCCGTTGTTCCTCGACGCGGTTGGATTGCTGGTTCACCCAGGAGTCGACAGTGCGGAAACGAGGAACGGAAGATCGCGTGGTCATGAAGCTATCACGGCCAAGGGGCTGAGTAGCAGTGTCGCGAGAGGGGTCGTGCGGGGTTTGAGGAGCTTGGGAGTTTGTCCAGCTGAATCTGCTGGCCATGCCACCACCAGCGGCTGCGGCAGCTGCGGATGCACCGCCAAAACCGGGTCGTTGAGAGATTGAAGGACGGTTCGACAAGAACTGACGGAATGACGGAGGTGGAGGCAGGTTTCTAGTCTGCTCCTGAGGTTCAGGGTATCGCAGCGACTCTTCGTCACCATCCAAAGATCTGGTGTTGCGAGTCGAGTTACTTTGCCGTCGCCCCTCTATGGGCAAAAGCGGTGATGAGGGTGTTGCACTGTCATTTCGACGATGCGAGTTTGCACGCGACGGTGTGTCATCGTAGAAGCTCATGTTTCCATCCCGAGTCGGAGGCTGGTTGAAGCTGTCGCTTCGCTCGAGGTCTCGCAATCGTTTCTGCGAAGACAGCGAACTAGATCGTACAGGTGCGACTGTCGGCTGAGGCGCGCGGAAAGAGTCGTTCATGCCATACGCGTATCCATCATCGAACTGCTTCTTATCCTGACCGTATCTCGATGGTGGTGGAGGTGGGGGTCCGCGACGGAGCTGCTGCTTGCCTTGCTGAATTACGTCCTTGAATGTAAGACCTCGTTTCTTCATTGTGTACATGGCGAGAACGACCATGACAATGATGATAGTCGCACCTGGAGTATGTCAGTATACATTTCAAGAAGCACCATGACTTCAACGTACCGATTGAACCAGCAGCTATGAGCAGGTGCTCAGTCGTCTGGGAGATGGGACGGTCATGATGGGGTCTGGGCGGTGGCATGGCAATCACGATGGTCTCCGTGGGGTCACTCTCAGCCAAGGCAGGTGTCGTAGCCTCTGGCTCCAGACCACTGAGAGTCATTGTGACCAACATCTGCGCTTGTTAGTCAAGTCCATATTTTGGCGCGATGCCGCTTACTGCTGCACTTCCGGACGGTATCATAAGCGAAGGTGTTGTCATAGGCGTCATGGTCGGGTTCTCGGGGTAATCGTCGTCATCAGAGTCGCTGTCGTAGTCTCCATCTGTAGGGCTTGGCTCCTGACGTCTTGCTCGTGATAGTCGGTTCAGCGTGGGCGTAGGCTCGTCTTCCACCAACTCAATCTCGTTCTCAACACCGTCTCTTTCCACTACAACATAATCCACCTTGTCGTAAACTCCACGGCGCCATGGAGCGGGCATTGCGTTCGGTATGCGATGGCGTCAAATAGGGAAAGCCCCTCTCAATCTTCCAGCGTCTCGATTTCTCCACCAGACATAATCCGCAAACTCGTCCAGCGATGTAAGGTTGTCGTGATCGAAGGTAGTGTTTGAGTCGAAAGCCTGTAGGACCGCGACCAGCGTAGTCGATAGGAAAGGGTGATGAGCGAATGTATGTAAGTGATTAGCAACAAGCCGGCCTGCGGAACGAAGGACAGAAGGGAAAGCAAAGTCAGCAAAGGTGCAACGAAAGGCTGGGCGAACGCTCAAGACGAGACACGTTCATGCGAATAGCGGGAGGGGTGGGATATGAGCGCGCATGAATGACACTAGCAGTGAGTCGCTGCTGGTCCCATGTCAGTTTGGGGAGACGCGAAGATGTGGATGCGCCGCTATGATCATTACGGAGTGTTTAGCAGCAATTGCGATGCCGGCAGTGATCCAAATGGCGAGATTCCATAACCCTGAATGCGCTTAATTACCCTCAATGGGGTAAGATATACCATGATCGAGAACAAAATGCTCGTGCAAGGTTTGGGGGGCTGTCTTAAAGTCGTCTCAGGGCGCCATGGTCAGGTTTCAGCTCCCGTTTCCGGGGACGATCAAACGCCACAGGGGTTGAGTCGTGAGACCGACGACCGACGTACAGATATTGGATGTCGAAAGCCCAATGTGAGGTTTAGTAGAGCTTAATCCCTTTGATAATTCCCCGCATATTACAAGATGCTCTAGGATTCGGCCAAATGCGCGATGTCGTACAGCCTGCATATGACGACGCCACACTTAGTCCGCGGGCAGAGCCTGCTGCGCCTCGGATGGCGTGGATTGCTCTTGGGCTCCACAATGTGCCTTTTCCGGTAGCGCGATGCGGCGGTGCTGGGGACCAGACTCTCGCGAGAATCCGGCCGAAGCCAATTTCTTGGGTGGACAAGAGGCACACAGTGTTTCGCAAGAAGGTTTGGTGGGCTTGCGGAAGAGAGTGTTTCCTGAGGCTAGCCAAGCCTGCCTTGCCGCGATCGCTCTCTAGGATGGTCAGTACATCTCGATTGGAAACAATAAAAGGCAAGTCGCATTACGTCAACATGCGCAGCGCTCGAATTGCGCACCGCTAGGAATTGCACGACGGATGATGCGGCGTTGAGTCGTGGGCGGTTCGCTCGCGCCGAACTGGCCGTGGCTGCCGGACGAGCTTGACCTCTGGGTGGCTGAGGCTGAGTGCAGCCCGAATTCGCTGCGTGTGCGGTGCTCCGCCCCCAAGGACGCGATGAATTGTTCAGTCATCGGATCTGGTAGTCAGCAGATCTTGTTGGGTGCTGCGGCAATAGGCCTGGTGGGCAGTATAAGACTCTGATGTTCCTGTTGTGACGCTCTTGCCTCATTCACACATCAACCCGTATCCCGTATTCCGTACTCGCCCCCAATCTTACGTCAACCACCCCTCAATCGACCCCTCATCAGCGCAACACCAGCGTCTACCCACCTTTCCTGACCTACAAACCCACACACGCATCATGTCTGGCCCTTACGATCAATACAACCAGGGCTACCAGCAATACCCGCCCCAAGGGTAAAGTAGCCGCCACGAATAGCTCTTAAGATATCTTGCTAACTTATCACTAGTATGTAGCTCCCTTGCTATACTTTGCAACGCAGTTCTAACTCATCTTATTATTCGTGCTAACAGCTTAATAGGCCAATACCCTCCCCAACAACAGGGCTACGGACAACAGGGTGGCTACCCGCAACAAGGCTACCCACCTCAGCAAGGCCAGGGCTACTACGACCAGCAACAGCAAGGCTACCAACAGCAAGGCTATAACCAGCAGTATGGTGCGCCTGCTCACGGCGGCTTCCAGCATGGCCAGCAAGTAGCGCCATACGACCAGCAACAGCAAGGGTAAGAGAGGATACTTTACAATGCAGCTGTCTCTGTACTAATTCGATTACAGATATGGTCAGCAACAGCAATACCCTCCACAAGGCCAGTACCCTGGTCAAGCACCATCAGGACAGTTCCCGCAGCAGGGCGCATACGCTGCAGACCAGTACCCGCAGGGCCACAATGCGTACGGCCAGCCGCAGCAAGGACAGCAATACGGCGCCACAGACCCCAATATGCAGGCTGAAGGCGACCGAGGCCTCATGGGTGCTCTAGGTGGCGGTGCAGCTGGCTACTTCGGAGGCAACAAGATGGGCGGTCACGGCATTATTGGAGCCATAGCAGGTTCCATCCTTGGTTCAAAGCTCGAGGACAAGCACAAGAAGCCGAAGCACGGCAACGGTTACCACTAGAAGGGGAAGACAAGGACGAAGTCTTTGGGTTAATGCCTTTTGTTTTGCTTCAGCAATGGGTGGCTCGCTCTCTTTCACGGCGTTTAGGATGACCGTCACGACTTTGGGTATTGGGTATGAATAGGCATCTCTAGAATGATAGGCAGTCACGAATCAATACGTTTCTAATAGACGCTATGATCTCTCCACTTGCACATTAAAGCGAAACAATCTTGGACGCTCCAGTGAACGTCATGTCTAGAACTGTGATCTTGTGGACGGGAAATTACATCGAGCGGGCGTTGAAACACGCCAACGTGCGAAACAATCTCACTCAGCCAGGCTGCATATTTGGGGCATTTTTCAACGGCCCGATAGACAAACAGCCCCAGCCGGCGTATATTGTTTGATGCACGCGCACCAATCTCGACATGGTGTATCGACTTCAGCCATTGTTCGGTAGATGTTTCCGATCTGCGCGTTCATCGTGAAATGGTGGTTGTAAACGCGCAAGGCATAGAACATCTTGGCCTCCGTTCGGGATTGGAAACAGCGGAGATTTCAATGGGATCTGAGATGCTGCATGTCCGAATGTCCGAGAGAGTTGAAGGGTAGGGTCGTATTGTTCTTCAGCCACGTGATGGTCTTTGGGAAAACCTCGGGACTCGACACGCCTAGGAAGGTGCTATCGATTGTCAACTTCCAAGGTTGGAAGCGACTGCCACTTGACCACGTGCCTTCCATTAACGATAGTCGGCTCTTCTGACGTATTGCTTGAGCATATAACTCTGTTCTTTTGTGGACAGTGTCGGTTAGTGCATCATACTCCCATTGCACGCTACTCCCAGTGCACGCGATCAGCCTGTAGCTTGTACCATACGAAACTCCTAAGCATGTAGAACGATTTCGGCGTGGGCAAAATGTACTACCATGCGACTCCCACACTCAGCACGGCGTCGCCGAAACCACCTAGGCTGATGCGAGCCATCGAAAAGCTCGAAGAGGTATACGAGTCCGGGAGAAATCGAGGCTGGCGAAGTCGGCTGGCGCGATGCCTTCAGCGCGCAAGAGGCATGTACAAGCGCATGACCATGCAAGTCGTTGCCAACGGTAGTGGGATTGGCAAGCCGAAGCTCACAGCTGAGCTTTGAGGCAGGGAAGCTGGCGGTTGAGGGATGTTATAAGCAGCCCGACGGTTTACTCGATGACATCGAGTAAACTGGACATGGCGGCCGCTGAGTGGCTGGGGCGGCGCCCCGTTATACCCCACATTGGCTTTATCTCCCTGCCGCAGAACCGCTATCCCTTCCCTGCCATAGCACCCCAGCTAACCATCCCAAGCGAACGCAGAGACGCAACCTCGAACCATCATGGCGTCGGATGCTGCGAGATAGAGAGTTTCTCCGGGCCCAGGGACGTGGTGACATGTTTCTATCGAGTCAAAGAGTAGCGAAATTTCTGTCTGCAGGGCTCCTATCGCGGAGATAGCTGTGCAGATGTGCATGGTCCCCAAGACATCTGTACACACCCTGGATGGGCACGCGATACCGTTGTTACGATGGCGCTGCGTCATCCGCGGAAATCCACCCACTTGTCTTGCCATCCTTCACACGCCCAGAACCCAAATTCTGCAAAGTCTGCATCTTCATCCTCGGAGACTATGCAGGGTGCAGATGCGAATCACACGGGGCTGGTCGTCGGGACTTTTCGTGGCGCAATTGCAGTGAGCATCTTGGTGGAGCTCACCGCGTGGGCTATCGCAACTCGAAGATAAGGCTACCGGAACGGGCCTACCAGTCAACCACCACAACCATGAAGCGTTCCGATGCGGAGGCACTTTAGCACCTAGGCGTGGAGTGGACCCAGGGTAGATCTTGAGGTGCGCGAAGTCGTTCCTGATATTTAAGATGGGGCGTGCCCCAGATGGGAGCCTCAGCATCGTCGACATTCGCTCATGCAGTAGTGCGCCTATCTAATCACCTCTTTCATAATCCACAACTACTCTCAGACGCCACCCATCGTGGATCCTGAACGTCAGCCACTCCTCCACCGACAACCCTCACCAAGACCAGGCGTACCAAGACCTTCACTCGCTTCTGACAGCACCCCACGTCATCCGAGCGGGGATCTTGAATCCTACCAAGCAGCGGCTTCGAGCAGCCGAAGCGAAAGCTTCATAAGGCCTGTTGCAACCTCGACTCTTCACCATTCCAGCGACGAGGGTTTCTTCTCCTACAGCCTGATCATGGAGAAAGTCAAGAACTCAAAGGTCGCATACTGGGCCGATAAGCTCGCCGTGGAGAGCGAACCCAACCTCACCACAGCGCAGCTTATGCTCTTCAACCACGATTTGAAGCCTGTCGAGCCGGAGCGTCGTCAATGGGGTGCTTGGAATTTCGTGGGCTTTTGGGTCGGTACGTCGAACATTTTCCCAAGCACCGACAGACTTAGGCTAATACTGTGCAGCCGACTCCTTCAACATCAACACCTGGATGATCTCGTCCGCAAACATCGTTGACGGTCTTTCCTGGTGGCAATCTTGGATATGTGTCTGGGTATGGAAATCGATATTAACTAGACCGACATTCGCTGATTTAACTGATAGCTTGGCTACTCCATCGCTGCCTGCTTTGTCTGCATGACTGGCCGTATCGGCGCAACATACCACATCTCTTTCCCCGTTGTCAACCGTTCATCTTTCGGTATCTGGGGAGCATTATGGCCCGTTTTCAACCGTGCAGCCATGGCCAGTATCTGGTACGGCGTACAAGCATGGATTGGCGGTACTTGTGTTCGCCTCATGATTCGCGCCATCTGGAACAACTGGCGAGACTCTGAGGGCCCCGGTACAGGTGGCATCACCAATGGCATCCCCAGCTCCGGCACGACCACCGTCGCCTTTGTGTCCTTTTTCCTCTTCTGGGCTGGATCGCTACCCTTCATCTACCCGCCAGTACACAAGATCCGCCACCTGTTTACCGTAAAGGCCTATGTTGTTCCGACTGCTGGCGTCGCCTTCTTCATCTGGGCCGTCGTTCGTGCGAAGGGATTGGGCCCAATTGTCCATCAACAAGGTACACTCAGCGGATCTGCGCTTGGCTGGATGATGGTCCGCGGAATCATGAGTGCCATTGCGAACTTCGCCACCTTGATCGTCAATGACCCTGATTTTGCCCGTTTTGCGAAGAAGCCATCGAACGCCTTCCTTCCGCAACTGCTTACTATCCCCATTGGATTTGCCATCACCTCGTTCATCGGTATCATCGTCTCATCGTCATCCACTGTGATCTTCGGCGAGGCGATCTGGGATCCTCTGAAGTTGCTGGAGTCTTTCCTGGATGAGGGTGGCTCAGCGCAACGTTTCGGTGTCTTCTGCATTGCCGCAGCCTTCGCGCTCGCCCAACTCGGAACCAACATCGCAGCGAACTCCATCAGTGCCGGAACTGATATGACAGCACTTGCACCCCGATGGATCAGTATCAGACGTGGTGGATACATCTGTGCGCTCGTCGGCCTCGTCATGTGCCCATGGAATCTCCTCTCCGACACCAACAATTTCACGACCTACCTCTCCGCATACTCTGTCTTCCTCTCCTCTATTGCAGGTGTTATGATTTGCGACTACTACATCGTCCGAAAAGGATACCTCCAGATCAAGGATCTATACTCCGGAAAGAAGACTGGTCCTTACTACTACACCCTTGGATTCCACTGGCGCGGCTACGCAGCCTACATTGCGGGTATCCTCATCAACGTCGTCGGGTTCGCAGGAGCCATCGGTCGCGACGTACCCATTGGCGCGAAGCGCATCTATGACCTCAACTTCTTTGCTGGCTTCCTGGTCGCAAGCATTACATATTGGGCGCTGTGCAAGATCAGCCCTATTCCGGCGACCAGCGACGTCTGGATGGAAGTCGGCGACGAGATCACGGACATTAGTGTCGCCTACACCGATAGCGATGCTGATCGTTACGATGAAGAAATCATGCACGGGGGAGATGGAAAGGGGGTTGAAGCGTCGAAGAACTTTTAGATCATCTGTCAGCCCGGTGAAGGCGCTTATGTTTTTTCCTTGCAAAATTTGGACAGGGTGAGAGATACCAGACCACGCCTTGGGTCACAGTCGTTTTCGCAATGAATTCCCACTTTATGATCTTGCTCTTTGCACTCTCTGTGTCATGTGTAGTTGATGAAACTCGCGGAGTGCTAAGAAAGGCCCGGTGGCAGGTGCGCCCAGCTAGCGTGAAGGCTAGCGCCTCCGCCTGGTGCTTGTGCTGACACCTCCAGTGCTCTTTCATGACTTCCATCACTTTTAACATCGCTTTCATGATGTCATCGGGGGTCCTTGCTTCGTACCCCACAGATGGCAGGTCGCATTCAAGCCATGAGTCGCTGTTACCAAGTGCGCCCAAGCGCATCCTGCACGTGGCTTTCACACCTCAGACAGGTGCCGGTCGTTAGCACGATTGCGCAGCCAACATGAACCTCGCCTTCTAAGGTGACTAGGAAGATGCTCTTCATCTTACAGTGTGAGGTTCATCCGTCCAAAACAACTTCCAATCCAAGCCAATACTCCATTGTACGACTACCGGTTGGGTGTTGAGATCATTCGTCGCTGCACTCATTCGCAACGAGCACCTGAAGCGACACCTCCATTAAAACTACTTCCCACTGCTACCGAAGCCTCTTCCGCTTCACATGTGGCTTCCATCTGCATATTCTAGAATATGGTCGCTTACAAGACAACACATGCGCCATTCACCTTGTGCCTCGTCACGCCGCACATCCCCACCTTCGCGTGCAGATTAAACATCCGGGGCACCGCTCGCGACCCCATCATCCTCCCGATCTGGCTCGGGACCCAAGAGCCGACATGGAGGCTCGCTCGCTAGCGAAGCACGTATAGTGTTGTGCAGCCAATGGTGTTTAACCGGTCCGGGCACAGCATCTTTGTATATTACGTGGATATTGAGGTAGTACTATCGCGTTTATGTGAAGTGGGCGCGATAAGGCTTGTCAGAAAGAGGTGAGTGGTGGGCTGTGGTAATGTGATCATGAGGGATATTGGAGAGTAGTGGTGGGCGTTGAGGCAGGGCAATGCTGCAACGATGCGAGTATATAAGGCTGGGGTGCAAACGGGATGGAGATCATATCACACCTCGAAGCATACATTTATTCGCCTTCAATATGCTGTTCTCAAACGTCTTCTTACCCACAGCGCTCCTCGCAGCCCAAGCCGCAGCCCACGGCGCCGTCACCAGCTATGTCATCGACGGAGTGACATACCCAGGGTAAGCCATCCCTCAACTTCAGCAGTACCATCAGGACAAGATCCCAACTTCCATCTCAGCTACGAAGGCTTCTCGCCCTCCTCCTCACCCAAGACCATCCAACGCCAATGGCCCGACTACAACCCCACCATGAGCGTCAACGACAAGAAGGTCATGTGCAACGGCGGCACCTCAGCCGATCTCTCCGCCAAGGTAGCAGCCGGCGGGAAGATTCGCGCAAACTGGAAGCAATGGACACACGAGCAAGGGCCTGTTATGGTCTGGATGTACAAGTGCTCTGGCGACTTCAAGAGCTGCGACGGTTCTGGAAAGAAGTGGTTCAAGGTACACACATCATCAAGTCTGACACATTCAAATCTCCTACTAACGACGCTGGCTAGATCGACCAAGAAGGCATGACCGCGCCTCCCCTCTCGGGCCGCAGCTGGGGCACCGCCAAGGTCCTCAAGAACTTGTACTGGGAGTCCAAAGTTCCCACATCCCTCGCACCGGGCAACTACCTCGTTCGCCACGAGCTTCTTGCTCTTCACCAGGCCAACTCACCTCAGTTCTATGCTGAGTGCGCACAAATCGAAGTCACGGGTTCTGGCAGTGCTTCTCCGAGTGGTGACTACTTGGCGAACATTCCCGGATACGCGGCGCAGAGTGACCCAGGAATCATGGTTGATACATATGGTAGCAAGGCTACTACGTATACTTGCCCTGGACCCAATGTGTGGACTGGATAGGTCGTTGGTAGAACGTGTGGGGTGTAAGGAAGGGAAATATGGACGGCGGAGGATGAATTCCAACTGGTGGTTTGGTATGTACATAGCTATAAGTCTTCAATGCACACTATATCCAACACCAATATCTCAGTCCTCTACACAGCTCCCCTCTCCTCTCACGCGCCAACCCATCTCTCACCCATCTCTTTCCTCTCTTTGATAACCTTCCCCACCTCCATCGCAATCGACTTAAACAAGCCCTTGGCCATTTTCCCATGTTCGCCAGCTTGTCCCTCGGCCAACACCTGGTTCTCGTGCACCAGGAGCATGGCATACTGATCATGACCCCGCAGAGAGGTCAACACGTCGATCTTTGCAAATTCCTTCAGCGAAAGACTGGAAGGAAAGCGGTTGTTTACGGCGAGGAAAGATAGGTTCTCTGGCTTTAGTGTTAGCTGGTCATGTTGAGGGAAGTACACAGTGTCACGGCATAGCGGGATATGAGTCGGATTGGAGCGGGAGTTTGTGTACCTATGCTCTTTTCCAGCCACACATCACCATCATCTTCGTCATCCTCATCGTCGTCGTCGTAGATGAAAAAATAACGTGAGAATGCCGATTTGAGTTCGACTGCGACTTGCGATTGTGTGAAAGTGGGCCTCGGGCGGGATTCCATCACTCCCAGTAGTACTTTTAATCTTGACTCCAAGGACCTTGGAGATGATGGTCGATTGGGATCTACAGTTGGGCCTGTGGTGAGGGCGCTTTCGCAGGGTGTTATGGCTTTGCCGTTCGTCATGTTGGAGTTTTGATTAGATTTCGTGGTCAGCCGTACCTTAGGAATGTATGCGGCGGTGCGACTTGTAGGTTTTCAGCTGGATTACCGAGGTGTTGGTGCGGGCGGGCGTATTTGAATGTTTTTTTCGAGGGGTCAAAAGCGTAGTGTGACGGAGATACGTGAACCTTGGGACACTGGGAAGAAGTTTGTAGAGTTCCCATACTTCTCATTCGAGACCATATCATTGTTCATGGGTCGTATGAATTGCGGAAGGTGTGGTTGGCTCGTCATCTCTGGCTCGTGGAAGACATAATCTGGCTATTCTCGCTTCCTGAACATCTCTCCCAAGGTTCGCATAGCGACAGCCAGATATCAAGCGCTGAATGTTATATATATAAGCGAAGTGTGCACTCACCATCAGCCCTCGCTTTCTCGAAACCAATAAGCCTTCTAGTGCATGAAGCTACAACATCAAGCCATGATTTTAATCACGATATGCGTCTTGTGTATGCTCCCTCCCACGACTATGCTGGGATGCGTCGCCCTGTTCATGGGCATTGGAAAAGAAGAGAAACCCTCTGAGTCCACAACAAGCCCACCGAAGTCGCCATCTACTTCAACCGAGTCAGCTGAGGAAGTCGCTGAGCGCGAAGATACTAGACTATGGCATGCCAATGGTACGTTGGTTCGAGACCCACTCGAATGAGAGCGCGCCTGATTGACAGGATACAGATCGCAAATATCTGTCACTACAAGACATCTCCATTGGATTCAACGAGCTCTTGCTCCGGGTCTCTAAATCCGACGTTAGCTTGACCAGTGAGTAACTCCCTCCTCACCATGACCCGCTCATTCATTTCCCTCGCTTTTCGCTTGATCGGCCGTATTCAAATATTTTGTACGCTTACTGACCTCTTGAGTAGCAAACATGGCCTGGCTGTATAAGCAAGGCTACTTCCCTCAGCTGGATATCAGATCGGACGTGTATTTTCGTGTGCGGAAGATGGGTAGTCGCCCTGCGCGCGACAGCACATACGTCATGTATCTTGTCGTTGATGATAAGATTATACTTGAGGGCAGGGGTATAGGGAAGGAGGAAGCTTTTCGTGATCTGTATTTGGAGGTTTCGGAGATGGTGACTGAAGCTGTGGACAGGATTGGGGAGTCGGAAACAACATGGGAAGAGGAGGATCGTTTGGAGTAGAAATGTACCAAATTCCTGGGATGTTAGTGCGATGCTGTTTGCTGTCAACTTTCTGTAGTCTCTCTCGCAAGTATGGCGCTTTCGATGGCTGGTACGCGCAGAGTGAAATTTTGACTGAAGTTTCGCATTTCATGTTGAAGTATGCGCCTAGGTGCCTGTATCCCATGCATCCGTCCTTCCCTCAAACTCCTTTCCGCACGTCTACTCTTCAGTAAACTCGGCGTACTCCTCCTTGGTCATCGTCTTGCCGCTGGGCTCTCCAGACACGGTGATCTTAGCGATCCATGCCTCGCCCTCGGGGTCCTTATTGACATTGCCTGGAGTCTGCTCTAGCGCTGAGTTGACTTCCGCGACGGTGCCAGAGATGGGTGTGAGGATGTCTGAGGCAGACTTGACTGACTCGACAGCGCCAATGGCGTCGCCTTCGCTAACATCCATTTCGATCTGGGGAAGCTCGATGTAGACGACGTCGCCGAGGGCCTTTGCAGCGTATTCGGAGATACCTAGGGTGCCTACGCGATGTGTCAGTCACAGAACGCTTGGACAGTAAGGGCGTATGGGGATGTGGGGATGTGGGGGAGGGTGCGCATACATGTCTTGCCGTCTGCAGACATCTCAATCCACTCATGGTCCTCGGTGTACTTCTTCTCCTTCACTGCCCTCAGTCAGCACCCATGCTCGCCTCTCAATTGCTTATCAGAGCTTCAGATGTGCGTACGTGCGGCAGATACCGAGAATAACCGTGGCTTCTGAGTCGCCTGCTGCCACCTCTGGCAGACGAAAGGTGACGGCCTCCTCGCGGCGGCGGAGGTGAATTGGCGCGCAGCGCGTGCGATTGAAGTCCGGGCAGCCATTGTAGAAGATTGTGTGTGGGTTGTGAAGCTGCAAGTTGCGCGCGCTGGAGAGGTGATAGCACGCGCCAAGACATTGGTGGAGCTCCTCCGCGATTACGGAAAGGTTGGCCGCATTCGAACACTTTTCGCGACGGAAGGCAAGACGGCAGCAACACCACGGCGCAAACGAGGCAAGATGCTGTACGAGATGATCGGAGTGGTAGGAGGAGTGTCGCATTGATCAACAGAGTACATGCTAACAAGTGCAGGTACGGCCCGGCCGCCTCTCTGAAGTCAAAGAGTAAATTCGCCCTCCAACACCCCCAGCCAAACGCTGACCCAATATGTTCCAGAATCGCCAAAACCGCCGGAAAGATTGTCCTCGATCAACAAGGCGTAGTCCGCGGCGTCTCCAACTGGGGCACCTTCCTCCTCCCCAAGCCAGCGAAGAAGCTGCAAACCACACACCACTACGGCCACCACTTCATCATGCGCTTCGATGCGAGCGCCCGCGCACAGCACGCTTTACGGCGAACCATGAGCTTGGACCCTCGGTTGATAAGGTACAGCGTCGTGAAGATGGGCACCAAGTTTGAGGAGATCAAGGACGTGCCGGGAACAGCCAACTTCAGGTGATGGCATCATAAGCGGGTGTACAGAAGAGACGGATGGATTACAATGACGGAATGTATCATATGGTGTACATGCGTCTCTATCCTTATACAGGCTGCATTGTTACGGCGTTTGGGTTATCTACGATACACTAGAGACGTCATGCCGGTTGAGGTGTGTTGGCACGCGAATCAATTGTTCAACCGACACTGTCTCGGTCAATCTACGTGCTTTTTGCACTTACACGCACTGCCACAGAGACAACGCAGTGCTCTAGGCATCGGTGTTGCTTGGCACAGCGATGTCGCTAGTCTCACTCCATTCATCGCGGCTTATGGTTGAGCGCTCTCGCTACCGCTTCCTCTTGGCGAAATGTGTGGGGTCCATGGCTCGCTCCTTCGTTGTTTGTCCATCATCACTCACGCATTTCATCAGAACATTCAACCTATCCCGCAACCCGTCACCACTTACAACATTGCCATGACGGGGTTTTTCGATCTGCCTCGAGAGTTACGGGATGAGATTTATACCTACTATGCCGCCCAGGATGGCGGCTATCTCTATAACCAGCGCACGCGCAGGTTACGCGCAGCCAACGGCGCTCCTATCGATCTCTCATTCATGCAAACCTGCAGTCGAGTAGCTCACGAGTTGAGGCCGGTCGTCTTTCAAACAAATACCGTCACTTTCCGGACGGGATGGGTCGACCGTGAGACGAGCGATAGAGCCGCGTCCTTTGCAACTGCTCTGGAATGGATCTATGTAAAGTCCGCATACCAACTATGCAGGGTTCGTAAAGACATCACCAACGATATGATTGAGCGTGCCGGAGTGGACTTTCCCGAATGTGTTCCCCTGCTTTACCGCCTTCGCGGAGGTCATGCTAGGCATGAACCGTTCCCCGTGCAAACGGTGCATGACTGGAGACTATGGCGTCATCCACCTTCTACTCATCGTAGATTTATCAAATTTATGCTGGCCCTGGAGAAGGGGACAAAGAGGTCGTGGGAGCTTTGGAAAGTTGAGGTCCTCGGGCAGCGACCTGAACAACCGAATGTCGCATCGCTGCTCCCTGGCATTCCTGACCCTTGGATGATACCCAACGCAGAAGACATCGCCTCGCTCAAAGAGCAATGCATCTCTTGGAGTTCGCCAAAGAGATATCGTCCCATGTGTGTCGACGGTCCCACCAAGCGCTACTTTTCCGCAGCTGCGCTTGCCATACAATTTCTCAACGGTCTAGACCCGAGCGTCTTGTCCGTTATCCGCAACATCGTGCTCGATGAAGTCCATGCCAGCGTAGCAAGACCAGAGTGCCATGGCCTGGGTCTGGTCAGCATAATGCAACACTATCCCCGCATCAGTATATGTCGCCAAGTGGATACAAAGACTACTGCCATCACAACCGCCATCAAAGGCAACGTCGGTCAGCCCTATTTCGAGGAAGTTGTAGGTTGCTACAGAGATGGGCGACCCTGGGATATCGATGGAGATATAGACCGAGTGCGCGTCTCTCAGGCCTTCATACGGTGGTTCGAGGAAGCCGTGGCTCTTTCATCGAGATTGTCTCCCGATCGCTTTTCTGTGACCTTTCACTCCAGGAACTCTGCAAGTACGCTCGCTCTCCTTGAGCAAATGCTCGAGGATGCCAGGTGGCAAAGAGCAATCGAACCGCTCGCTCCACGTCCCATAAGCCCGCTTAGTCTCATGGACAGTTGCTGCTTCTTTTCTGAATCGTTCACACGTGTTATGCGAGAGATACAACAAGGCGAGGGGAATGTTCGTTTCGACCTAGGTGACTTGAGCGTCCGTGGTAGCAATACGGCAATCCCAGTCGACCAGGAAAGCACGCCGGCGCAAATAGGAGAGAATTGGATGGCACATTTCCAGGGCACGTATGTCGAGCCGTCGCCGTACGCCGGCCGCAAGGACTTGCTGCAGGAATATATGGAGGACGAGGTCCAAGACTGATCGTTGCGCATCACCTGCCATTTCACTGCCTACAGGTGGAATGCGCAGTGCTGACGCGTGCACCAATGCTGGACCCTGAAACACTACAGGTGGGACCTCGGGAGTACCGAGACGCGTGAACACGTGATTGGTGCCTGATTCTGGCGCCGCTAGTGACCCACGCCTTTCTGGCTTCCACCATTTTGCGACCAACAATCCAACGGAAATCGCATTCTTGGGAAGCTGGGAAGGTACGTCGTCGCCATGCGGTTCGCCCACGTCGAGGTGCCTGCCGAGGTTGTCGGTATCATTGCACACCATCTGTTCTGCCTCGAGGGCATGCAGGAAACGTGGAAGCTGCGTCTCGTCTGCACCACTTTTGCGAGCGCGATAAAAGACGACATACTTCTTTACCAGACGGAAGAATTACGGTACGCGAAGGGGCGCTGGTGCAGTAGCATTATGTCGCATTTAATGCCAGAATGGCTCTACTATCGGGTCAAGAAGCCTGTCGACAGCATGAGCAGCTTGTCGGTACGTACATCTAGCGCTATTGCGTGGGACACTCATTGTTTTACTTATCCCATTACTAGGCCAACATCTTGGGCATACACTCATACATTTGTCAAGAGCTGAACATTGCCAACGCCAAGAAGGAGAAAAAGCTTCTCGATGTATGCGCCGCAATGGCACAAACGATAACCTTCCCTGACCTCTCCTACGCTATACGGTACCCATATCCTTCAAAGAGCTCTTGCGATTTACATCATCAATGGTGCGAAACCGCCTTTTCTTCAGGGCTCACAACCGAGGAGAAGGTTGCCGCGGCGACAGCGCTTGGTGACTACGAGATGCGCGAAGATCTACTACCACAACTCAGAGAACACGACATGGCGATTCGACGTATGAGTCCGCTTCTTGCAGCAGTCATAACAGACGATCAAGCATCCCTACAACTGATCCTGGATCATGCAGAAAGCCGGCAGGGAAAGAGTACTCTTGAGAGTCTCTACATACCTTATGCTTTCAGGCTCGCGATACACCAACACTCTGCCGGTACTGTCGGTCGACTGACAGAGTTTCTGAAGAGGTCATACCATGATCACAAGAAAGACGTGTACGTGCAGAGTCTGCGAGAAGCCGTGAAATTCGTCCAGCCTCCAAACGCGGAGATAGTACGCCAGATAGTGCTACATTCTCCATATGGACCGAAAGTCACCGCAGACGTCTTTCTTTATGCTTGCAAAGCCCATAGCCTAGACATTGTCAAAGTCCTGCTATCAGAAGGACAAGTAGACGTCAACGAGGGTTCCGCGCAAACCCTCCCACTCCATGTCGCCATCAAGACCACGGACGACGACACTGCTATTATCAGAGCAGTTCTTGATGCTGGCGCCGACATCAACAAGACGGACTACCTGACTACCAAGCCGAAAAAGTACTGTGGGGCACCAGCCCAGAATGAAAGTCCGCTGGAGTTCGCCGCCGCTCACCCGATGGCTGCAGTCAAGTATCTTCTTCAGCGAGGCGCTGTCGTGCGTCACGTCGACCTTTGGTACACGATATCAGAACCAGAGCCGTACAACGCTTTGCGAGACGCCAGGATGAAGCAGAGTGGAGATAAGGTCCCGACGTTCATGGAGAGTCAGAACAGAATGGAGCAGGACCAGGAGGCATATCTGCAGAGCGAGGAGGATAGACTTGAGAAGTTGCGACGCAAGCATCGTATTTGATGTATTTGCCGGTAACCCGGGCAGGAAAGCTACGTGCATTTACCTACATTTCTACGTCTCAAGTACGGGTGACCTTCCTACCTTTACCTGGCCGTGGTATCGCCCCTCAGAACATGTTCTCTCACCAAGAGCGAGGACATGGCGCTAGTGCCATACTAGAGCAGTATATCTAGCACCCCAACTACTACACCCCTCCTCCAATCTTCTCTTCATTCTCATCCCTTGATATCGATAACTGTGAGTCGATCTCACTACAAAGATATGACCACGAAACACACATTGGCAAGTGGCCAGACTACCAAGGTACCCCAGCTGCCTCAATCTTACATCACAGCTAATGTTAGTACCTCGCAGACCAAGAAAACGTTCAGATCACCACTGATAGTGTCTACGACCATGCCACTCCTTGATTTCCCACCGGAGGTGGTTGAAAACGTCGTTCATGAGCTAGTCTCTGTCGCTGGTGTTAACGAGGCCTGGAAGCTCCGTGGGGTCTGTGGTGAGTAAAGCGGTGGTGAGGTCTCAAATTACGAGCTGGAGCTGACCGAGTGTAGGCACACTCAAGTTAGCTATAACATACGACATCTTCGCCAAGCGGACCTTGAAAGACCTCACCTACATGTCGAACGACCTTTTGCGCCACAATTTTGGCCTCTATCTCTACTACCGGAGCAGGGTACCCTTGGATGTGCATCCATACCTACCCGAAAGAATCTACAACATGGTCAGCTATCTTTCAGAAGAGCTAGGAACTGTCACGGAGAGTGAGAAAGAAGGGTTGCGAAGAGACCTATGCGACAGACTAGGTGCTGACACTACGAACGACGAGATGATACACGCTTTGCGAGGCTATGGCAGTAGAAAACGCTTGAAACCTGAATACATCGGCACCCCTTTCGGAGCAATCGATCAGCTCGTGGCTGCGTCAATCCTCGGAAAACTTGGACTCATTAAAACGGCGATGGAATCACTGCGCAGCTACGATACTCATCCTGTCTTCGGAGGTGTTCTCTTGCGGGCGACTGCAGAAGGACAAGCTTCTGTCGTCAAAGTCATACTGGAACAGCTAGGCGCGTCCTTGCAAGATCCCGACAAAGCCCAGCGCATACGAATAGTCGTTCATCAAGACCCATTTACTTGTCGAGAATGGGAAGTAAGCGAGTTCAACATTTCACGGGCCATCCTGGCCGCCGTCGAGCATTCCCGTCCTGAGGAACTTGGTATATTATCCACGTGGTACAAGCAAGCAGGGTTCACATTCTTGAAAGCTGAGTACAACACTTTTCTCGACACAGCCATCCGCAAGTCGAGTCTGGCGGTCTTCCAGTGTGTATTAGACGTTCCTTATACCAAGACTAAGATGACGACTCCTATCACCTCCTCACAGCTTTCCCTGGCATGCGCAAAAGGACGCCAGGATATCGTCAAGCTGTGCGTAGAGAAAGGCCTCATTGAGACAGCGGCAGCGACCTGTGCAATGATTTCAGGCATCAACTCGAACCAACCCGAGATCGTCAATTCACTCATACAGGCTGGCGCTGACGTCAACTATCCGACGCCATACTACTCTACAGTAAGGCTTCCCTTGAATGTGGCAATGCATAAGAAGAACCCGTCCATCATCCAAGCTCTGATTGATGCAGGTGCACACCTACCAGACATCGCATGTTGGTCAAAGCATGAGGCTACATATGCGATTCTGCGACATGCCAAGATCAAGAACAACGGTGGGCACGTGCTGGAGTACAAGCGTTTCAAGAGGATGAAGAGGGCAGATATTGAGAAACTTGGAGCCGAGGGTGACATTGTCGCATCACCCTGACTTGTAGGGCCTCGTAGATGTATGTCTCTACCGCGGCTATTTATCGCTCACTGGAGCTTATAGATGGGCCAGTTACCTTTGCCACACAAATTGGCAGGCGAGTTCGGTATATTGCATGCGTTCAGAAGTTTGTTTCCTTCCCTTCAGGTTTCACGAAACCACACTGTAATTATCTAAAAGTTATTTTCTCTTGCTCAAACTCATGGCTGCCTGATATCTATCACGGCCTATTTCGTCATCAAAGTCGCGCTCGCCTCGAGTTGCAGTTGCCAGGGCGATGCATAAGTCGAGGTGACCGAAGATTGCGACTGCCTTTACCTCTGTCTGGACCAAGAAAGCTTGGCACACAGGCCCTTTCCCTATTGATGCCACTCACTCTGCTTCCTTCCTTTCTCCACCGCACTGTGTCGCGACTGCAACGACTGAAACCCCTACGTAAATAACCCCCGTCAGCTTGATTGCGATATGTACTAACATGAGACAGATTCGAGAAGTGACGAGCTTGGAGTAACGACTTCAGTCACTACGATGGACTTGCTCGACTTCCCGCCTGAGATCTTCAGGCACGTTATCAACTGCCTGGTCAGTGATGTTGGTGTCCTATGTGCTTGGAAACTGCGAAGCGTATGCCGTAAGACTCTCATTCCCGTGGTCGCGCAAATGCTCAGGGCTGATAATTTCATAGGAACCTTTGATCAGGAGATCAGCGCAAACATTCTAGCCGTACAACCTAGACAGGCGTTTCGCGGCTACTATGCCTGGTCCCTACTCGCCCGCAAAGACAACATGAAGCACTACCTCGCATATCACGTCAAGAGTCCACGCGATGTCTTACCGGAGCTTCCCGCCAAGATACAGAAAATGGTGGAGTATGTCACCAAGGAGCTCACCGCAACAGACAATCTCGACGGCCGCAACATTCTCCTGGAGGTATGTGCAGGCGTTGCGCAGACATGTCCGTTTCTTATTACCTTTCTCTGGCGGAATGACTCAACCTCGCTCGTGAGCGAGAAAAGATACAAGAAACTGCGCCAACCACTGAGCAAGGATATCACCTATCATGACCAGCTCATCGCGGCGATAAGTGTAGGTGCTTACGACGTAGTCGCAAGACTACTACCCCAAGCTCCTACCTCACTCTCGCGGGATGTGTTTGAAGAGCCAATGCTAGCTGCTGTTCTACAAGATGATCACAAGATGATCACTCTTATGATGACAGTTCTGGACGAACAAAAGTCCAAGAGGTTCAAAAGGAGTCAGGTAATGAATATCGGTTCTCCATACGGTATGCTTGGCTCCATGCAACCAGCTATCGCAGATGACAACGTCGACATGGTAAAGCTACTGCTTGGCTACCTTCGTCGCTACCTGAATCTTCCCGACAAAACCTATTATCGTCAGTGGATTGATCGTGCAATTCTCTCACGAAGCAACAACGTCCTCAGAACTCTTCTCCAAGCCGCACCCGACACCAAGCCCTTCCAGATCAACACTACTATCTTCGAGCGGGGCGTGAAGACAGGAGACTCAGCTATCGTTACCACTCTCATCAACTACGGAAGCATCCAGCTAGACTCTGGTAGCGCCCAGATGTCAGCCCTAGCGGCTTCCATAAGAGCTGGTGGTGTTGCGGTAATTCGCGCAGTCGTCGAAGCTGGTGCAGACATTGATTTCGTTATAACGACCCATCGCCTGAAGCATTGCGATGCCATTACACCACTGGAGTACGCCATTTATCTGAACAACTTCGACGCCGTGTGCTACTTGATCAAATGTGGAGCCAGCGTTCCTGCTACCTATACTTGGCACCTCTCAAAAAAGATGCAAGCCATCCTCCGGAATGCGCCAGCCCCTCAGGAGAAAATGACCAAGCAGAAGCAGTAGAGAGCCCTTGCTGTCTTGAGATCTCTGGTACATCCGTGGGGGCATACACGGCTACTGGGAGATTGCAGCATGAAAATCAGGGAACCTTGTCACGGGGCAGGCTATGCGAGTACACATGGTGCAAGCGTATCTAGTTGGCAAGGCCTCAAGTAGCGAGAGCCATACACCCACCATCATCGCTGAAGGCTTAGCACAGAATTATCCCAAGAACTATTTCATTACATTTCCACCACGATACAGACCATCGTTCCCATATCCTGACACCTGACATGCCCAGTAGAAGGATACATCATCTTGGAAGCTGTTTACTTGTTAAGATCTGATACTATGTATGCAGCAAACCCTACTTATGTGGCACAAATTCGAGCCACTTCTCGTGATGGTGGCAGTGAATGTGACCAAACTCTTCAGCGCTTGGGCTTACCGTAGGCAGGGCGAAGGCCTTTCACACGGACACCTTAATATGGCACTAGCGCGCTGTTTAGCGTCTTTGACAAAGTGTAACCCCCAGCCACTAGCTCTTCCACATATAACTCTCCATCTTTCAACGACCCTGTCGCCGTATACGACATCAACCGAGCGCAAGAACGACTCAACATGGCGCAACTTCTGGATCTACCCACGGAGATATTCCAAAACATCATCCACGCGCTCAACTCTGAACGCCCCAGGGCCACTTGGAAACTTCGAAGCGTATGTCACACTTTCGCCGCCGAAATCAAGCATGATCTGCTCAGCAATCAGCCCAAACATATCGTTGGATTGATCCCGGGAGTCATCACTGCCAACATCACAACGTATGTACTTGCCCATCTGAACAAGCCCGCCGATGTCGACAACCGGCTACTCAATACGATCCACCGAATGATTGACTATTTGGTTTCGGAACTCTCAATCCCGAAAGGACAGCGGAAGGAGACTGAGACCAGCATGGTTGAAGGTCTTGTCCGAGTCACTGGTCCTGACGAAGTAATGTATATGATGATGAATTGGAGGCGTTCCTACCGCCACCCAGCCATTCAGTTGAGGAACAATCCAGAAAACGGCGCGGACGTTCACCACTGGGAGAAGATCGTAGCGGCTATGTCGACTCAGGCGATTGACTTGATTCGCCCTCTGCTAGCGCAAATGCCTCCCGCGATTTGGTCTCCTTACACGACCTTCGGCGAAGGCCCTCTGGTGATGGCTGTGACTTCGAAACACGACGAGCTTTTCGATGCAGTCTTACACCACCTGAACAACCTCAAGAAGTCGGTCAAACGTGATACTCTAGGTTGTTACGACTACAACTTTGCAGAAGCGATCTGCTCCGCTATCCGGGCTGGCAATACACGCTTCGTGGATGAGCTTGTCAAGTTCCGCCAGACAATCTTTCGCAGGGTTGAGAAGCGCACGTACAACGGGTGGCTCGAGATCGGCATCGAGAACGGAAACACAGACGTAGTAGAGTCTATCCTACGCCTGAATCCATCAGGCAGCCTGGTCAATAATCGCCTCTTCACAATTGCATGTCGTACTGGTAATGTTGACATGGTCAACTTGCTTCTGGACGATGAAGAATTGGACATCAACGACGGAACCCTTTTCACCAACTTCCTCTGCTGCGCCATCAAGGTCAGCGACATCCCGATCGTCGCCGCGGTCCTAGATGCAGGTGCAGATGTCAATGGCGCCTTTCCTAGGTATCAGCGGTCCACAAAGACGGTTTCGCCGATGGAGGTTGCTCTCAACCGAAACAGCAAGGAGTTACTGGAATTGCTCATGAGCAGGGGAGCCACAATGCCGCCTCGGGCGCGCTGGCCCAAGACCAAGATGCTATACACCATGATCCGCGAGGTTGCGATCGCGAACGGGGCAACAGACATTCCAGCATACAGCATTTCACTGAGGCGAGGTCTTGATGAGATTTGATGGGGCTGTTCATGAGATGCTAGCGGTAGATCTGTTGTGGGGTGGGTGGTATGGGAGGCAGCTCAGAGACGATCGAATGGGAGGTTTGCTGGTCTCGTAATGTTATCGTGCGATGGATGGCTTGTCATAGGATGAAATTGATGCGAAAATTGTCCAAAACATTGACGAAGTTAATGCCGCTGTGGCCTAAACGCCTGTACCAAAGGGTTTGTCGCATACGTCGTGTAAATTCGGTGGATGCGCATCCGCACACGGATGCTTCCCGCGCAAACTGATAAGGAGGTACATCGTGTCTCATACAAGCAAAGATGTGAAGGATGGCCGCACGGCGTCGTTGCTGCGTGTAGCGTGCGCGTGGCTGAGACGCGAAATGGAGGTGCGATGCGCCGAGAAGGCCCGGGGCGATGTACCTCGGTAATTCATCGAATCATACGATACCTTGACCCCTGCAGCAGCTTGCGACGGAAGCTGTCGGTCGTGATGTCAGTTCCCTTTTGATAGCTCTGTGGTTGAATGTATGTAACCGCGATACTAGGACAGTCCTCACTCGTGACGCTACCTAGGTATAGATCGATCCGATTTAGTGGTTCCCGTCCAGGCACGAAACCTGCGTGGTTGGATCGGCGCCATGACGCAGTTGGGTGTCATGCGGGGCCCTAACCTCACCACCTGCAACCTCGCGAAAGCGACATCCTCTAAGATCGTACACAGAACACTGAAGGTACAAATTAGGGTGTCTCCGATGAGCCGAACGTGAGATGACGAGCTTTGCCCAGGTGAGACAGACTGCCACGCGACGATGACTACTGGTAAGGGCAGCTGCCAAGTTCTCCGACTCTGATTGTTAGGTTGGTACTGCGCATATTGAACCAAACTCAGTGCTGTCCGGATGGGAAGTCTAGACCTTTAGGTCAGAGGTCTTTGTGTGTAACCCGCTTCCTTTCATGTTGTCTCGTTTTCTTTGAACGAGTGAGCTCTGAGACACCATTATTCAGAGTCTGACCTTGGTTTCATTTACATTACTGGAACATCCCGCTTCGCAGTATCTTCATTCATTCAAAAACATCTGCCGAGGCAACGTAAATTCTTCCATCCGTTGCTTACCACTCGACGAAGCACCTCCGCTCCACTTTCAATCATGCCGCCTAAAAGAGAGCGCGAAGAGACCCCAGACCTTCTTTCGAGAGGAGATTCATTGTCGCCGGATGCGAAGCGCACGAAGACTGAAGTTTACCGGCTCGATTTTGGCATGCACATAGGGTGCACTCTCGATGAACTCAGTCCCAGCGAGTTGGCCAAGATAGCGGGCGAAGATGAACGGGTCGATGCAGATCCTGCTCTGCGCAGTGCTCTCATCGATTGGGCAAACAACACTTATAAGATCGATGCAGATGGCGGCTACTACCACGGATGCAGCCTCACCGAGACCCCCATCTCTTGGATCAACTCATCCATCTACGCTACAGGTATACATGAAGATACATGTACTCGCATAGCACTCAAGTATCACTTCATCGACAGGAAGCCGGAAATGCCTCGTTCAAATTGGGTATTCACTTACGGGCATTATGATGGGTTAAACTTCAAGGAGATTGTGGAGCAGGAAAAGGTCGAAGAGATTGAAATGGGTCGCAAAAAGCCTCTACCATACGACGAATGGACCAAGGGCCAAGGGATAGGAACCAAGCAAAATCCCAAAGGCTTCGATCCAAGAAATCCCTACAAGGAAGACGGTACAAGGATATTTGACAACCGCGGCAAAGACGATGTAGCCGACGCGCTGGTGTATAATGAGCGTATGAAGCTGAGAAAGCTTCTTCGAGATCATTCCAATGCTCCTAATTATCGCATGCCATGGTATCAGAACTACTGCAGAGGCCAACACATCAGAGACGTTGATCTCGACGAGGTTCTGCGCATCCATGACAAGCTTGACAACAAGCGAGCCTGGGGTGAAGAATACGACAAAGATCTCTGGGCTGCAGTGAAATGGCGCGTCATCAAGCACCACCTCGTTCGATGGAACTGGAGAGGACATTGCGAGAGGGTAAACGGGAGATGCGTCTGGATTCCAGAAGATCTAGGTCCATAGTTGTACCCGTCTACTGAGATTGAAGTCTCAGACGAGCCTTATATACCCCAATTCTAGGTAGGCAGTCATAATGGGAACAAAACGGTCAAGTCATCTCAGATTGGACGCGACACCAAAAGATGAGCACCCTATTTAAGGGAAAAGCTAAACACCCTAGGGCCTACATTAAGATAAAAACGTGCAAAGTAGGTAGCCTGACAGCGACGTAGGCTCTAGAGTGTTTAGTTCTTCCCTTGTATGAGGTGTGAGCATGGAATACGTTGCGTTACAAGCGGACGCGGGCGGTGTGTCGCCGCCGTATCACGTGGCTGACACCAGCGTTTGCAGCACGCTCATTGGTTGCCCAGGTGGTCAATGAATACACCAACTTGGCAAAGCTGGAAAGTTTACCCCGAACCATTCAACTCTCATCACAAGTCTTTGCTACCCGACATCCTGGCGTAACTTCGAAGAGAAGTAAGTCACCGCATGCACGTCAGTTCATCGCACGCCTTGGCTAACTGCTTTAGCAATTTGACATCGCCAACGGAACCCGCCCGGGACTTTTGTCGCGATGGATCTTCCGCCGACAGTGATCGAGGAGAAGCTGAGAGAAGTGTTCAGCGAGCTGTCTCCCGATGTCCTCCGACCTGACCTCCGCTCCATCAACGACCTCCCCGACGAGATGCTGCTTGAGATAGCCAGATACCTTGAGGGCGACAACCCGACGCTCGGCAACCTGAATCGGACATCGCGTCGCTTCAAAGCCATCGGCGATGAGCTCTTATATCGGACAATCAGCTTGCCCCGTACTCGGGGTGACAGCGTCATGTACCTCGTGCGCACCATCGTTGGAAGACCGGAACTGAGAAGCAAGATCCGTCACCTGACGTTTTCCACGACTAGCTGGCGTATCAACTGCGATGGCGACATTATGGTAGTCGGAAGCATATTCACCAGAACACGTCCAACGACATCTCGCGACGAGCTTGGAGCTTCGTTGCTACAAATATCTCGGAGCCTCGATAGTCTGAGCATTCTCGGAGCCGGGAACCCATTTCAGAGCATGGAAGAGATAGACTGGCGGTGCACTCTGTTACTCGGTCGGCTAAGCTCGCTAGCTGGACTGCTTCTCGCTCTTTGCGACAATCTTGACATGCTTTGTATGGGCATGTATCACAGGGACGATCTGGACATACCTGCTTTCGACGTCGTTAACTCGATTTACGGTCTACACAGCAACTTTATGCAGCAACCGCCAAGTCGCTGGTCAGGCTTCAAGCAATTCCACAACGTCAAGCGCCTGAGAGTCTCCGGTTTGAACATGGACATACTGAGATTCCCATTCATATCCCTCCAAGTCCTCGAGATCGACCTCTCGCGAGAGTACTTTAGTGAGCATCTGCCCACTCCGGAGCATGTCTTCTTCGGCAACAAATCCACTCAGTGCCTTTCACCCCGCTGTGCGAACCTCCACACACTCATCATACGAAGCGATTGGAACGAGCTAAACGACCAAGCCCATCTGAGTCACGGCTATCAGCTGCCAATTCTGCTACAAGACTTCGCTGGACCGACCATCACCCGTCTAGAGATACTGTTCATGAGGAGCCCGACTGTTGTAAAGCAGTGGCTGGGTACTTTCGAGCATATTGCGCGTGCTCTGGGTGAGGACACAGACGTATCTGCAAGCCTGCAATTCATCAAAATCGACTACGAGGAATCTGATCACTTCGATCCCAAGCGTTGTTTCGGTGGTTGTACGAACCTGCACAGCTTCAGCTCGTTCCGCAAGTTGACGAAGATGGAGGTTCTGCAAGGTGTACTTGTATTCGAGGCCCGCAACACGTTCGGTGAGCTGTACTGCTTTCGCGGCATTATACCTCCTCCAAGCCTCGAGTCACTCACCGTAATTTGTCCTACCAAGGCTATTCTTACATGGCTCAACATGATAGTCGAGCGCAAGACGGAGGTGCCAGCCCTGAATAAGATCGTGCTTTTGTGCAGGTGTGGCTACGGTGCTGGACCCAAGGAGTTCGAAGGCGACGTCTCGACATACGTTTTCGCGCAGCTGAACGACCTTGGTATCGATGTGCGTGTGGTTGAAGAGACACCAGGAGCATTCGCGGCTCTAGCTCGGAAGGAAGGCTCAGTGTGGGAGGCGGACTGGGCCGAAGATGGATGGGTGGATGGATTATTCGGTCAGGATCAGGGTTGAAGAGATAGCCTTCGACACTCTGGTTTGTGATTTTGGTGTCGCATCGCGCACACTTGTTTCTTATCCGGGTAAACATAGAGTAGACCTAAATTCTCTTCTTAGAACGTCCGAAATCTCACGATACCTTTACAAGCTCGATCGTCGCTCCCGCGCTCATCACCGGTGTTTATAGTAGTCTAGATGTAGTGTAACCCCATCACGTCGTATTGCGACTACCTGCCCGCCTTCTCCACGGTCAGTCACCCCCAAAAGTAAGGTAGATAAACCCACAGTCACTACTTCAATACTTGCTGCAAAAGCCTGAATAACTTGTGTTGACAATTGTATAGTTCATTAAAATGAGTATATAAGAGCAAGTGGGTATCATGAAAAAATCTTCCAAGTCTAGTGTAGCCCTCTACCAGTATCAAAAAGGTCGTAAAACAAAATGAAAGCAGTGTATCCTCCCCAGTACGGAGAAGCTCGGACCAAGCCTCGCGGCTCGGCACCCGAGGGTTGTGTAGTGTATTGGCGTCAATGGTCGTCAAGTAATGGCCTTTTGCCCTCGTCCCGTCCGCATGTGTTCAACACATCGCCCCGCTATCCCTCCCGTATAGCACCTTTGCACTTCTCTCGCTCAGAGTATCCGGCTCGACGCTGATCTGGATATCCGTCTTCTTCATTACATTCCCCATCGGTAGCGCTGTTGTTCCATCGTTCATACGGAGATGCGCCGAGTGACCGAATCGAGAATCCCGTGTAAGATCTCCTGTGTCGTCCTTCAAGGCCGCGCTTCCGGATATATCGTGCGATTCAGCATGCGCATCGAAGCCCCTCGTTGCGAATGCGATAAGTTGATTGAGGACCTCGAATTCGAGCTTGAGCTTGATGGCGTATGCGAGTGTCTTCCAGCTGGTTTGGATTTCGTACAGGCCTATGTACTGTAGGACCAGGATCGTGACGTCGAGCAAGATGACCACCGTGTTGACGATGATAAGATGGTTGAAGACCCGCTTGGCGTGTGGGCCTCGGAAGGCGGCCGAGCTGCGCATGAGAGCGAAGGTGCGATAGATATAGAGACCACTTATGAGGCACTCTTGGAAGACGAACCAGGTAACCTGGAAGATCTCCCACTTCTCGTAGATCTGTAGCCACCTCTTAGGATTCGGTGAATTCGAGCCAGCAAAAAGCGCAGTCGCCCCTCCTTGCACGATTATGCAGGCTGCTATGATCATGCAGAGCAACCACCAATCTCTCTTTCCAGAACTGATGAGGTGTAGTCGTGACCAGAGTACGATGGATTGGCCAGTGATCATGAGCATACCCCCGCCACACGCCAAGGCGATCTCCAGCGGGGCCGAGTCGGATATCCCATAGTTGCGGATGAAGTACCCAAAGGCATGTATGGCGATACCGACCGAGGCTGCGATGAGCGTGTAAAAGTACACGCCGTGATAGGTGCGAAAGAGGCGGAAGATCTTGACGAAGACCTCGAGGGTATGGGAGACGGCGAGGGCGAGGAAGACGATGACGACAAGAGAGGTTTTGTGAGACAGCGTATGGTTCGTGGTCATACCCTCCACCCGGTCGGACATTTGTTGGGAAGCCATTGTCGGCGTTGGGTGCGATATTGTCTTGTGATGTGGTTGGCTTTAGGTATGAGGTCGCCGAACGCCAGTCGCGAGCAGGGAACGGCGCGCAGTCTCCTCTTCAAGGGACGTAAGATCACTCTTCCTGGAGCTGACGCCACAAGTAGTCTGCCTCATTTTACAGTCAACCAGCCGCCAAGAAACTCTGCACCTCTCAATTCACTACCCTGCATCCTGGTTCCTGGTTAGGCAATAATCCTCACTGGTCGCAAACGCGATCTACGTCAACTCGGCAGGGCACAGACATCCAGAAACGTGTCCCCGTGACCCAAATGAAGAGACTAAAACGCAGCCTTGTTTCCGAAACGCGGTAGGGAACGTGGCGGGCTGCAAGAATTGTCGGGGCTGGCCCCGCGGGGGAGATGTCACCCTGCTAAAGGAAATGAGACAGAGGCCTAAAATTGCGTATATCCTTGTAGCCGTAGAGCAACGGCAACGTTATACCGCTCGCGTCAGGTGAACGTTGCTTGACATCGCGCGCAATCGGATGGTGTTGTTGTTAAGGTTGAATGAGCTTGAAGACACAGACCTCGAATGCGTTCTCCGGCAAAGGGTTTCTGATGTTGTTCACGTCGCGCTACGTGACAAGCCTGGCAAGCAGCGCTCTGATCAGGTCGGGCGGGTTGAAAATGCGATGTGAATAACTATGAGCCCAGGTTTACCGCGTGTTGCAGGATTCCGAGTTAAAGATACGCTCGCACGACGTGAATGGAAGGATTGGTGGTGAAAGAGCGCCGCTCGGTAGATGGGCGGAAAGTGGCCGCGCCACGTTTTCGTGAGGGCTGGAAAGTCGAGCTAGGCACGTCATCGAGAGCACGTGCGCACGCGTTTCCGACCGGGCGAGGTCACATACCGGGCCCCGCTTAAACACCACTGGGCGTCTCATCTCCCCTATCCTTAATTGTCATCAAGCGCACTTCTCTGAGAACTTTCGTTACCCGTACCATCAGCCACGCATCGATATATGGCTTTCGATCGGTTCCGTTTGAAAACTTCTGATCTTCACGCGTAAGTCTTTTGCTGGGCACAAAGACCGACGAGTTTCATCCGGCTCATTCATGAGACAGCTCATAAGCTCTAGTTAAGAATGGTCCACGCGTGTGGCCAGAACAGAAGACCGTGCCGCTGTGTTAATCGTATTTGCGAGCGAAGCTGAGTACCTCTGGATGCGATGGCCATCGCGCATTGTAGCCGCGGTAGCTTCCATGAACACCAATCTCGTCCACGCAGGCATCATCTCCATGTCGAGTGATGCAGTAAACAACAGTGAGAGCTGGAATGCAGAGTCTCGTCTCCATGGTAACGAGTCTACTACGCAGATGAGACCGCCCAGCGCCATCGAGGACCAGATCGTTGGTCTCTACATCATCATTCACCATCAGAACCCAGACTCCCTTATGCGCATAGTGATCTGGGTTGATTCAGCCCGCTCTACCTACTGATGATCTCTGCCAGAGTACTAGATTTCATTCACTCACATCTGATAGTTTCACACTCTTTCCAGGTACGAGTCACTGGCAGCGATAGGACGCTGTTGTAGGTTTACAAGTGGTCTAGACGATTATTTAACCCTTTTCGCTTGCTCTCTTTCGTATGAACACCACTTGCAACTTCAGCAACATCAAGCTTCAACATCCGATTTGACAAGAGCTCATTCGATACAAGCCACCGCGATGTCTACTACTTCAGAACAGTCCAAGGGCAGCCGCCCTACGAAAAGCAATAACTTCCGTCGCCGTAACGGTCCCAACACAAAGGCCTACGTCAATACCCTTTCGCCCGCCGGCCAAGTCAACAAAGTCTTAACAGACATGGCAAACCTAAACGGCGGCAACCACCTCCGCAACTGGTCAGCTTCCGCGCGCAAGGAGCTAGCCCCTAACATTACCATCAAAGTGGAGGTTTTAGACCCCAAGGGCAACAAAGTGAACGTCAACATGCCCAAGCTAGCCTTCTTCGCTGCTTCATCGGCTTTCCGCCAGCACTTAGAGGCTAACCCAGATGATACCTGGGTCAAATTCTGCCACAAGGACGTCTCTCTCGATTCCATGCGGACGATCGCAAAGTGGTTGCGGACAATCTGTACTGACCAGCAGTACACTGATATCCCCATACCCAAGGAAGTCAAGAAGGGTTTAGAGTTGCGTCTTGCTGCGCAGGTGCTGGGTATGACACAATATACGTCTCAGATCATCAAAGGTTACATATGCGGCCTCATCTACCGTCCCGTGGAGGCAGAGGAATTGGTCCTGGTGGCTGAGACAACGCGCAAGGAAACGGTAGAAGATCCTATCGTGGACGCTTTAGCCAACTACGTCGCTTACCTGTGTCGGTACCATCTGGTCAGCAGGGAGATAGAAGACCAATATCTGGCCGTTCTTGCCGGGGGCAAATGTGCGAAGCTATTGGATGCCGTGGAAGACCACAAGGTTCGGGCTATCGCGCAGAACGGATGGAAGGCTGTATGCCCTCGGCCACTGGCGGAGCTTTAGACCCAGAATTAGGTTCATCGTAGTAGTCTTAGCTTAGGTTGGTGAAGCTTCTGTTTTCGTTACCACTGACGGTACATTCGTAACCAAGACATGCCAACCAGCGTGGTAACGCCAGGCGAGAACAAGTGTGAGCAATGAACAGTATTTCGTAGGATTGAACAAGCACCCACATTTTCAAAGTGTACCGCGTTGCCGCATTCAAAATAGTGATTCGATTAGAGTACTATCATACTGACGTATTTAGACCTTGTTCAGCCAAATGAGCTTACTCTGGTAGTCGCCCATTGGCCACGCGATGTTAAGCCCGCCGTTCATGTACGTAGCCCCGCTATAGGTGGCATTGTCCAGGTCGTTGCTATATCTCGCCTTAGGATCCAAGCCCTGTAGTTTGAGCGGAGGTGCTGCTGGCTTGATCATGTACTGTTGCTGGAACGCAAAGACTATGCTCTGGTTTCCTTCTGCACTGACGAATTGCACACCAGGCCAGTTGCTGCTGTCGGGATGCGCAAGGCGGTAGAAATCACCGGAGATGACAACGGGGTTCACCGCCTTGGCCTGGGCCATGATGGAAGGCACGGCGGAAGCTTCCTCTGGGGAGAGTTCGGATGGGTTGAGTTCGAGACCGAAGGAGCCGCACATCATAGCAACGTGACCGCGGTATTCGATGCTGATGTTGCGATGGGTGAGACCGTTGGGAACCGCAGATATGTGGCAACCCATTGCGGAGGGCGGGTAGACCAGGGATGTGCCCATTTGGATCGTGAGACGGTTTGAAGCATCGGTGTTATCACTGGTCCAGTGCTGGGGCCAGTAGTGTAGAAGACCAGGGTCAAATCGGCCTCCACCTGATGCACAACCCTCCCAGAGTACATCAGGATAGCTGGTCGTGAGATTGTCGATAACGCGGTATAGGCCGAGGATATAAGTGTAGTCATCAGATGGGCGGGCAAGCTCATGCATGCCACGGTTGTTGTCCCATTTGACGTATTGGACGTTGGCGGAATCGAGTACACGAGAAATCGAGCTGATGATGTAGTCCTGGACTTCCGGCAACCCTACGTTCAGAACCAACTGGTTTCGTGTCAACGTCCTTTGGTGCTTTCCAGCATGCAGGACCCAGTCGGGGTGCTCATGGTACAAGGTGGAATTGGGGTTTACCATCTCTGGTTCTACCCAAATACCAAATTGTAAAGGCGTGGACGACGCATTCAACACTGTAAAGTTATTGACTTGCTCCACGTACGGACCTAGACCATCGGGGAACTTTGCTGGGTTGGGTGTCCAATCTCCGAGACCCATAGTATCATTGTTGCGTGGGTATTCGACACCAAACCAGCCATCGTCCATTACGAACAGTTCAATTCCAAGCTCTTCCGCCTCGCCGGCCAGGCTGACCAGAGACGTTTCGTTGATGTCGAAACTCAGCCCCTCCCACGAGTTGAGCAGAATGGGGCGGGTTTGGTCCGTGAACTTGTGTCGAGAGAGGTGATTGCGATAGAGATCATGGAACGAGCGCGACACGCCACCAACACCCTGAGAGGAGTACACACCGACAGCTTCGGGAGACTGGAACATCTCCCCTGGTGCCACGCGAATACTGGAATGAAGCGGGTTAAGGCCCATGAGAACGCGCACATAGCCGTTGGAGAAGCGCTGTGCTGTAGCTTCAAAGCTACCAGTCCACACTAAACTGATGCCCCAAGCCTCTCCGTTAGACTCGGTGGTGGTTGGCGAAACCAACGCGAAGAAAGGGTTGTGAAGATGAGATGCGTATCCTGCGGTACTCCGGAATCTGATAGATGTCAGTATTTATACAGCAACGCCTAGGCATATCAACTCACGAAGTCTCGCCATAATCGATCTTCCTCCTCACGGTCTGGAACTCATGCGACCAATCACCGTGGGGCTCAATCATCTCGAGGTCAAGATTGGGGAAGTCGGTGCTAAAGCTCGACGCTCTCTCGATGACGATATCAGCAGTACCGTTGTTCGCAATGCTGAAGCTACGTGCAATAGCGTTGTACTTGGGGAAGATTGAGTACATCAATGCAGCGGAAACGTCCGACACGTTGTCGTACATGTGCACGGTTACCGTCGTGACATCGCCAGCTTCTCCATAAGTCGCAGGTAGTCCTGGCAGAGAAGGCTTTCCCTGTACAATGTCGTGGGATTGGTAGCGGAAAGCGGATATCGTGTCGCCATCGGCGTGTTCGATATGGATAGCTGGTAAACGGAAGTCACCGCGGCCAATATCGGGAAACTCGCGACGCTCGTTGCCTATCTCGCCAGCTACCCATCCGGATGGTAGGATGTAGGCTGGTGGTGTGAAGTCGTCGGTTGGTCCTCCAAAGTGATCTGAGATGAGGTCGCCAGACTCGGTATCAACGTGGAACAGGTATGACATGCCGTCGGCGGTAAGTGTGAAGTTTGTGCCAGATGCCTGAATAGCTGCCTCGAATCAGCGACTGCCTCTATTGTAACCTATAGCCATATCTTACCATCTTGCGCCACGGTAGCGCTGGCCAAAAGGCTCAACGCGAGACCCTTGATACCAATCATTGCTAGATCTTGCAGGTGAGCAATGCATCACGAAAAGTCGTCAAGGTACCTGCTTAAGTACACCTCCCAACCACCCTGGTCGCATGCCTAGCTTACATCGGGGATGCAGTGAACTGATCATCGTGAGGGGAAGTGGGGAGGGTCCGGGGTCGACAGACAAGCTCTTCTGCCATGGAACTCTGCGTAAATTGCAGTGATTGGGCCAGCTGCGGAAGTTGGCGGATAGGATGCCGGATGGAGAAGGGACGGTGCTACTCTGGGTCGGTGCGACGTTTAGCCGCGGTTGATGTCGTCAACGGTCCCATAGAAGGCTGCAGCTGCCATCGCTCATCAGGTACACTAGCACAACGTTGAGCGGAAAACTACAGGAAAACGATATGGCTGCCGTAGAAAAGCCGTTCAAGTAGCGCCAGCACCTCGTTCAAGGAAAAAACTGGACACCCTAGAGTCTACATTAACATGGAAAGCTGCAAAGGATACGGCCAACGTCAACGTAGGCTCCAGGGTATCCAATTTTTCCTTGAATGAGGTGCCAACTGCTAGAAAACATGGCACGGGTGCAAATCTCGGGATGTATATTGTTGGCGAAAATGTCAGAATAACCTACTTTCGACATCACCTGAGCGCTATGAAGTCATGATGTCCCATGCTCGAGGCTAGAGCGCCCAGCTGTCAGTGCTGTAAAAGGGCCAAAGTCGTGATGCATGTTATTAAACTATACTGACGCTGGATAAGCTTTTGCTCAAACGCTTGACTCGTCAACTCACAAACCCGTCTTGCGATCTATCTCTGCTATGTCTTCCGCAAGATGAGAGCCATCACCCATGGCCTGATCCGTAGCTAGGGCTCTCATACTCCAGGCATGCCCAACCACGCTCTGACCTGTGGGACGCCTCTTGGAAGGAAGTAAACAGTCCACAGCGCTGCAAAGGCGACCAAAAGGCCCGTGAACTTCTCAAACCAGGTGTGAAAGTAGGCGGCCGTCATGAGGAGCATCCACCACATCAGCGCGGCGACACCAAGCGCGAACTTGACGCCACGCGCAGTAGCCTCGCCCTCAGACTTGACGAGGTCTTTCTCCACTGCCACGCTCGCAACTTTGCCATCGGGCAAGGTGATGAGCCTTCCATCCCTCAGTCCCTCTACACGCGTCAACGCAGGCAGAAACTCCAGCCACAGGAGTGACGAGCCAAGTATGAGCAAGAAGACGTGTCCGGAAATATCGTGTCCGCCCTTCCATGTTCCACCAACTGCCTTGCACGTCGCCGCGGTAATGTACTCTCTCGTGGTGCTCATTTCTTCCCTCGCCTCCGGATCCCTGATGATTTCGCACTGGCCTCCCGTGAACCTAAACCCGCGGTCAATCAGCGGCGGCCCAAAGCACCACTGCGTCATGAAGCACCACCATGTTGTCACGACGCCATATCGCATCACCGCTCGGATGCGTCTCGCGCTGGCACCCTGACCGAATCCAGGGTGAAAGGTGACGAAGACGGCGAACGCGAGTGTCGTCCAGAACCAGCCTTGCTTGACAAAGTATACGTTGAAGATGTTCTTCTTCTGCGCAAAGTACGAGGGCGCGAATTCGGCGGGGTGGGACTGGAGGACGGTGGAGTAGGGCGCACTGCGGTTTGAGGGCGATATTATGCTGAACACGCTACCCATGAGGAGCGTCAATGGGTAGATGGCGATGAGCTGCGCTTCGAGGCGGGTGGGGAGGAAGGGCGACCGCCGCGCGGACGGAGAGCGAACGGTACCGCTGGGCATGCCGGTTGTGATGGGAACCCCATTGCTGATGTCGGTGTCGGCTTTTCGACGCGTTGCCATGGTTGTTGTGGACGGGGGATGGGCTCTGTTGAGCTGGAGGGTAAGGAAGCGGCAATTCAATGGGCGGAAACTGGGTCGACCATAAAGCAGGATCGTATGCGAGAAGAACTAGGTTTGTTGGCTAGATCGCAGGAAGTGGGCAGCTGCTCCCACGAAGCGAAACTCGCGAACAATGACGTTATTTGGTTTTGGCGGCTCAGCCACTACTGTGGCGCGACACCCTAGCCCTATGCGGCCTGCCACCGCCTGCCTCCACACGTCAACCTAGAAAAAACCTCAACACCCTGGAGCCTACATCAACGTTGAGCTACCTACCTTACACATTTTAATTTACCGTAGTCTGCAAACCTGTTCAGTTTTTTTTGTGCCTAAGGCGTCCAGGCCCGAGTCCATAGGGACTTTGACACAACCTTGGAATGTGTACAATTAGCGACAGCACATCACGAGCCTGATGACGCGACACTCCATTATGTTCATTAAAACGCATCATCGCTACATCTAGTTGGACAGTGATGCAAGCATCGAGGGGTCTCAAGTATCATCAACGCCCAATGAAGCTCGATGGGTTAGTGACATGGCCGTGCAGTAGCCAACTACTCGCAGGCACAGGGACACGCTGAGTTAGAATGTATCGAACCATGGCAGTCTGAAGGTGATTTACGTACACATTCCGTCTATCGGATGGATCTCAGTCAAGTTGTCGAATTTTGGAAGTAAACTAGGCAAGACGACATTCACCGTGAAACTCCTCCACAAATACATTTCACTGTAGTTGCCTAGTTCCGCTCACCGCATGTCACTTATGGCTCTCTCAATGGTCAATCAACTCTCTCCACTTCCTTCAAGTCGCCCACATGGAGTCAGTAGTCGCCGTCCACACGAACGAGGGCAGCCCAGAAGCGCAATCTGCTCTGGCCGCGCTCGCAGCCACTCTGAACATCAATGAGAACGCGCTGAAGACGGCTCTCAATGGCGCGTTCGATCTGCTGCCCGCGGCCGCAGGTAATACAATGCTTGCGCTGCAAATGAGCTCTCAACGGCTGTCGTACCACATTGACAGCAAGGCTTTGGTCGAGATTATCATAACATTTCGACGAGCATTCGGCGGCGCTCTGAGTATGGAACGAGGTCAGTGTTACAGAGAGTCCAATATAGTTCCACGCTGACAGAACTTCTCAGTCAAGTATGCGACACCCGCCCGGGCAACTTACAATCAAGTCCATGGGCCGTATTCAGATCAAAACGTACATATTGGTCCTCCGCGGTACTCTGCCCCAGGTTTTCGATCCGGCGAGCCTGTTGGCCAACACTATAACTTCCCGGTAGCAGCACACTACCAAACTCAGAACTATCCACTGCCGTGGGGCTCAGGCTATAATTATAACGCCCTAAGGAACGCGTCACAGCCAGGTGTGATGTCGACGAACCACATATCTCCTGTCTCCCCAGGTCACCAAGGTCCTATAATGGCTAGTCAGAGGAACGAGGCGCCCTCGGTACTTCCAGTCGGTCCATATTTCGGTCGGTATCAGTGAGTGATACGAGAGTTTGGCCCACTCGTGAAAGACGTAGCGGAAGGCTGGTTTTGATGACACATTTGTGGTATTCTGTACAAACAAGCTAATCGGGTTGCAATGTTTCATGAATTCTTCGCCTTTGGTCGGTAGGCTGCCGAGCTCTTGATTCCTTAGCCATGATATCGACCTTGAATGTGACTTCATTCCAAGGTTACCAGCGTTTAGCATAGCCTACACAATAGTTAGCTTGCTCAAAGGACAAGTGATCAACTTCCATCTACGTGCGGAACAAGCAAACGTTCTCGTATTGTTGCATAAAGAAGGAGTATACACGCGTGAGTCGAGGAACAATAAGGTCATGTCGTCTTTGAATAGCTCAGGGATGTTTGACTCAACTTCTCCTGCCTTCACCTGGTATATACACACAGAAGAATGTCGTGCTCACGGTCGGTTCTGCCTTACTTCCCATACCTTCAGTGTTTATAAGTTCTCTTTTTTACCATCGTCTTCCCTCTGAAACGTCAAACTTATAACGAATAATCATCATATACACTATCATGGCCAATAACTCGAACTCCGACAGCCCCAATCACGAAGAACCTTCTGGTGGTGCTGGATATCGCCCCCTGAAATACCTGGACGAATCTCTATTCCCCAACAACGACGGGGACTTTGCACCTTCATTCATGCAGCCACATGGACCAGCCAGTCGCCTACACACTCGACGTAAGCCATTATAACGATACTGTAGTCTTCAATCTAATTTTCATGCGTAGCCCCAGCGGCAAATCCACCCCCATGGGAAGACCCGGCTCAGGCTTGGCGGTACGTGGATGACGACAGGGTATGGACCGGCGAGGCCTTCGTGGTTTCCCGTCGTACTCGGCCTGATACAAGGACAGCCAGAGCCAATCCGCATGCCTCTGGATCTTCAACTGCAGCTGCAGCTCCACAAAACCCTAGGCAAAGCCAAGCACCGAGGGGCCTACATGGTCCTGTTGTCTTTGGCTCCATTGGACAACCGCAAGCTCCAGTAGATCTTCAGCAGCGTGAGCCAGGCAGTAAGATGACTCAAAACACCTTGGTAGTCTTCCCGCTAAATCATTATTCCGCAGCCTTGTCAACTCCAGTTCCTGGTAGCCGTGATGGTGCCTTGCGAGGTACACCTGTAGCTCCTCGAAAGACCGTGAAAGCCCCATCACCTAGCAGCAATGGTGAATTCGTGTTCACCGACTGGAACGACGAAGCCAAGCGAGAGCTCTTCATGTGGAAAGTAAAGCGCAAGAAGGGCTACCCTTTCTTTTTGCATCTCTTTCCTGGTGAGACTGCGGATTCACTACACGAGGCGTTCAAGTTGTACAAAAATGAAGGAGAGCGTTTGTTGAACGGATAAGGGTGCGCAGGACCGGTGGTGTTTGGATTCAGGTAGGACGTATACGTATTCGTTGGACGGACGGAGGACATTAATGCGATCTGGGATGCTGGCTTCACGTCAGTGAACTTGTTGGATTGAATGGGTAATATAGCGCTGTGCCCCATCAGGCCATAGTATGAGGATACGTCTGAAAGGCGATAATGTTTTGCATATCGTCGCGTCCGAACAGGAAATGGCTCCAAGCCCAAGTCCGCGACGCAGATATGTGTTGAATATTGAACGAGTAGTCGGAATGAATCAACTGAAAAGAATGACGAGTCATCGTGACGTGAGGCGCGTGTTGCGCGGGATTAGTCATCGACATTAGCGCGTCAATCTCGCGTGGCCGCCAGTCGTCATCGTCATTGTCCTCTCACCAAACGCATCTCATCCCATCTCCTTCCGGGCACATTCTCCTCACTTCGCTTCATGCTTTTCGCGAATAACATGCGTTCATCCGTGTTATAGAGGCAGTCACAAGATGGATATGTGGAGCTACTGATCATGTCCGTCCACACGTGGTCTTGCTTTGCTAGACAGACCTCGGGATCCCGCGATGCACGCAGCAATACCGCGAGGCTCTCTGACAACCGAGAAACTCGTACGACAACTAGTTTCTGTTCTGATTCGAAACCCAGCAGTCAACACACCGTACACAAATGTCAGGATCCCATTCAAATCCGGTCTTGGCTTTCATGGCACTACACACAAGACAGCACTTGGAATGCTTAACCATGGGGATAGCTCTTATCTGGCCTTTCAAAGACGGCTTCATCTGAGGCCGAAAATTCCGAAGAGTCGAAGATCATGGCCCTGACGGGAGCTGCGACGCTTGTGCGACATGAAGAACCCCAGCATCCTAGCGAGCGGTCGGCCCCGCCGCGCACTGGCGTTTGACACACTGTTCCGACCACTCTCGATCGCCAAGCTGGCCTGTAAACGTTGTGAAAGCGTTCCATCATGTAATTCCGGCAATGCCAACGACGGGTGGCTGAGGGAAGCAGATGTCACTGAGACTCATGGGATTCAGAAGCATTTATTCGCAGTAGGCCTCAGGAGGTGCACCTGATGAGCTCACTGGTACCATCCCTTTACTTCACAGTCATCTGTTCATCTTGCTGCCGGACAGCTGTTTCTCGTCTACGTCTTCTTTCGATCCGCTAATTAACAAACTCTCTCGATATGAAGCTCTCTCTGGAATTGACTCTCGGTCTACTGGCCGTATCATGCGTCGATGCATTCGTCGTTCCCCCTCGCACGCTATGGGCAGTATGTTGATCCGATGCACCACCTTGGCTACTCAACACGTTATCTCTCTTGTTAAAGCCTGTCACTCACTGCATATGCTGACACTCATGCTAGACCAAAGCAAACCTTGCCTCTCGCTCGTATCGCGCACACCCTGTCAGACGTGACGCAGACTTTCAGAGCTTGGACTCGTTGACCCAAGGAGGAAGTCGCCGCCGCGAGGCTCAAAAGCAAGGTGGCGGAGGTGGTGGTCTCACGATCGGAGGCCTCACTCTAGGCGGCCCAGGCGGTGGTATCACTGGCAACGGTCTCAAGCTCGGCGGAAATCAGCAGGGCAATGGTACTGCGGCAGCCGCAGAGGAGCCCAAGTCTTCAGCAGCAGAGGGCGAGAAGTCCGCCACCGCCGGTGAAAAGCCTGCTGTCGCCGCCGAGCAAGAGTCAGAAGGGGGTGCGGCTGGCGCTGGCGCTGGCGCTGGTACGGAGAACCAGCCCGGACGCGCCGAAGGAGACGCAGCAAGGAAAGAATCTGAACAGGAAGCTCAAGAGGCCGAGGGTGAGAAGTCAAACGGCGTCAAGGCTACTGAAGAGTCCGAGAAGTTCTCTGAGGAATCTGGTATCACCCTCGGCGAGGACGGTGCCGCGGCGAACCTCGGTGGAAACCTGGGCATCACGCAGGGCTCCGACGGCAGCAAGTCAATCGGCGGGTCAAACGGTATCAACATCGCCGCTAATGGGGACGCAACACTAGCAGGTAATGAGTGAGAATTGGCCGCCTGCCAACACAAGGATGTGTCAACCCTTTCTGTTCATTTCCTTTGTAT